CTCGAGGGCCGCGCGGCGGAAGTGGCGGGCCGGGAAGCATGGCGGCCACTCGAGGGCGGCGCGGCGGAAGTGGCGGGCCGGGAAACATGGCGGCGGCTCGAGGGCCGCGCGGCGGAAGTGGCGGGCCGGGAAGCATGGCGGCGGCTCGAGGGCAGCACGGCGGAAGTGGGCACCAGGAAGCATGGCGGCCGCTCCAGGGCCGCGCAGCGGAGCCGGCAGTTCTCGGAGGGCCTGGGAAGGCGGCCTACGGACCCAGGCGGGCTCGGCCGCCTCTCTAGGTCACGGAGCCGTGCAGATCCGGGTCCCCAGTGACCACTCGGTCCCCACTGGGAGAGACCTACTTAGTGCTGACGACGGACAAAGGCCTTCACAGGCCCGGCAGGTGAGCGAAGTTCCGAACGAGGCGGGTGGAACGGTTAGCGGCCATCGGGGGTCCGCGGTCATTGCGCCAGACCTTGCTGTGGGGACAGAGAAAGGCAGAATGACAGGCCACGTCGGCGCGTTGGAAATGCCCGCCACCCTCTGGGAAGATTGCTGGCTGTGTATGGAAGGCCTGTGTGTATAATATGAAAAAGCTGCTCTCAGCTGCACCCCAACCTTTTTTTCTTTTCTTTTTGTTATTTTTTTCTTTTTTTCTTTCTTTTTTTTTTTTTTTGAGACAGAGTTTCGCTCTTGTTACCCAGGCTGGAGTGCAATGGCGCGACCTCGGCTCACTGCAACCTCCGCCTCCTGGGTTCAGGCAATTCTCCTGCCTCAGCCTCCCGAGTAGCTGGGATTACAGGCACGCATCACCATGCCCAGCTAATTTTTTGTATTTTTAGTAGAGACGGGGTTTCACCATGTTGCCCAGGATGGTCTCGATCTCTTGACCTTGTGATCCACCCGCCTCGGCCTCCCAAAGTGCTGGGATTACAGGCGTGAGCCACCGCGCCCGGCCTATTTTTTTCTTTTTTTTCACCTTTAACTGTCTTGATAGAGTTATACACCCCAGCCTTTTAATAGAAAACGTTTGTCACATCTAGCCCTTCTAGGTGTAAAGAGGTTCCCGACGTATGATAAAGTAGAGTTAGAAAACCACACATCTTGTAAATTCTCATTTGTTTAAAAGAAATAATAGAAAATACATGACTCCTGGACTCCATGACTTTTGGAAATGGAGCTGTTAGGTGGCCTCTGGAAGCGATAGTCCACGTTTGTTCAGTGGGTTAGATGACATGGAGTTGGAAGACACGAGGAGGAGGAGAAGGTTCTCTGCTAGACTGGTCATATTTAGAAGACATTTTCATATTCTAGCCATTGTTTTGTGTGCATTTTATTCCTCACTACTATATATGTAGTTGACAATGCTAAACTTTTTCGAAACGTCTGTTCTTTTTAGATGTTCTGAAGTGCCTAATAGATGTTAAAATTAGAGGTAGTAAAATCACATTTTGTAAATATCTTTTTGTTACAACTTGTAGGAAATGTTTTTTGGGGGGAATGGCCAAATCACCTGTTGAGTAATACTCAGTGTGTGTGCAGCGGTTCAGGGGAGGAGGGAGGATGGGGAGGTGCAGACAGTTCTATGACACCCTGCTTACAGCAAGGCAAGATGAATTATTATCTCTGCATTTTGTTTTACTTACCTGTGCATATAATGTACGTAAAGGACAAACGAGTCCTAACTTTAACAACATCTAGTCTTTAACGAGGTTGCCAGTGTATGACAGAAGTAGAGTTAGTAACCTAATGTTTTGTACATTTTGTTTTACAAGTCTAGGAAAGATTGTCTTCCGAAAATTTGAGCGTTCTTGCGCACTGGGCTGATGGAGATAGGAAGGGTTCTAGGCCAGAATGTTCACACTTGGAAGGCTCTTTCAAATTATAACTGTTGTTACATGTTTGCAGTTTATTCAAGACTGCTGTGTACATAGTGGACAAACTAACTCCTAGGTGTTTAGAAGTGCCTGATGTATGTTAAATGTAGAGGTAGTAAAATACCACTTTGTAAATATCTTTTTGCTAAAATTCATAGGAAGTAGTTTTGGAAATTGAATTGTGAAGCCACCTTTGTGAGCCATATAGTACTGTCTATACTTGTTCAGTGGTTCAGAGGAGGTGAGAGGGAAAAAATTGCAAAAGGTAATATTCTAGTGTGTTCATACTTGGACATTTCAGACACTATTTTTCTGTAGGTTTTGTGCATTTTCTTTTGCTTTGTACATAGTGTATATAATGGACAATGAGTCCTAATTTTTCAACATCTAGTCTCTAGCTGTTAAAGAGGCTGGCAGTGTATGACCATGTAGTAAAATGAGCATATTTTGTCCCCTTTGTGATGAAATTCATAGGAAAACTTGTCTTCTGTAAACGACTTTTGCATTGGAATTTGTTCAGTCGTCTCTGCGCATTACACGTGCCTGTACTTGTCCACTGGATTGAAGGCAGAGAAGAAAGAGAGGAGGGAATTATTCAAGGCCAAAATGGTCACAGTTAGACGGCACCTCAGATGATAATCACTGTTTATGTGTGTGCAATTTTAGTTAACAGGGTTGTGTACGTGGTGGACAAGTTATATGAAATATCTAGTCTTTCTAGATATTTGGAAATGCTTGGTGTATGTAAAAGTAGTAGTAGAATAACACTTTTTGTAAATAGCTTTTAAAAAGTGATGGGAAATGCTGTTGGGAAGTGGAATTGTGCAACCACCTGGGAGGTGGGAGGGAAGAAATTGCAAAAGGTGTTTTGCCATTGTTTATTAGAAAATTTCAGCTTAATCCATTGCCTATATGTTACATGCATTTCCTTTAAGTTTGCTATCTATACTGTATATATTATGTATATACTGGACAAATGGGTCCCAATTTTATAATATCTAGTCTCTAGATATTAAAGAGGTTGCCGGCCGGGCGCGGTGGCTCATGCCTGTAATCCCAGCACTTTGGGAGGCTGAGGCGGGTGGATCACGAGGTCAAGAGATCGAGACCATCCTGGTTAACATGGTGAAACCCCGTCTCTACTAAAAATACAAAAAATTAGCTGGGCATGGTGGCGTGTGCCTGTAATCCCAGCTACTCAGGAGGCTGAGGCAGGAGAATTGCCTGAACCCAGGAGGCGGAGGTTGCGGTGAGCCGAGATTGCGCCACTGCACTCCAGCCTGGGTAACAAGAGCGAACCTCCGTCTCAAAAAAAAAAAAAAGAAAAGAGGTTGCCAATGCATGACAGAAGTAGAGTTAGTAAACTAACACATCCTGTACACTTTGTTAAGATTCATAGAAAGGCTGTCTTCTGAGAAAGACTTTCGGAAGTGAAGTAACCTCAGCTGTAAGTGACACATGTGCCACTTGCAGAGTTGGGTGAAGAGTTGGAAGGAATGAAGAGTTCTAGACCAGAATGATCCTATCTAGAAGACACTTTCAGATATAACCATTGTTACATGTGTGTAGTTTATTTAACACTGCTGTGTATATAGTGGAGAAACTTAAGTCCTAATTTGAAACATCTAGTCTTTCTAGATGTTTAGAAGTGCACAAAGTATGTTAAAAGTAGAGGTAGTAAATAACAAACACATTTTGTGGCTATCCTTTTGATATATCATCTTTTGGAAATTGATCTATTCTCTGAGCAGTACATTATGATATCTGTGCAGGTTCAGGGAGGAGGAGGAGTGTAAAGGGCTTTCCACCAGTGTGTTTATGATGAGGCACATTGATCATTGTCCCTTATGTCTGCATTTTCATCAACTGTGCTGTGTATATAGTGTATATAAGCGGACATAAGAGTCCTAATTTATAGCCAGTCGATGTTAAAGAGGTTGCCAGTGTGTGACAGAAGCAGAGTTAGTAAATTCAATACATTGAGTGTACCTTGTGTTAAAAATCATAGGGAAGACTTCTTAAAAACAGAAGTGACATTGTTAAAATCCCCCCTAAACTGTCCATGGGGTTGACAGAGGTCAGAAAGGGAAGTAGGTTCTAGGCCAGAATGTTCCTATTTAGAAGACACTCAAATTTCAGTCTGTGTTATGTATAACACCATTTATTCAATGCTACTGTGTATATAATGGAAAACTTGAGTCCAGTTGGAAATATCTAGTCTTTCTAGGTATTTAAAAGTGCACAACATATGTTAAAAATAGAGGGCTAAAGTAACACCCCTCTAAGCATTTGTTTTCATTACTTCCTTAGGAGTGGTTGGTTGCATTTGGGAATGGAATTGTTAAAATTTGATGCGTATGCAGACTATTCATTGGCTGGTGATGGGTTGGGGAGGAGGAGGTATGCAGGGAGAAGGGTTCTTTGTCCCTGAGATTAGTTCAGCTGGTCTAACCATTGTTCTGTATGTGCATTTTAGTTAATATTACAGTTATGTATTAAAGGATAAACAAGTCAATGCTCAGAGTATGTTAAAAATAGATATAGTAAATCAGTCCCTTTACGCATGTCGTTTTGTTAGTTTTTAAGAAGGCTTGTCTTCTGGGAGTGACCCTTATTATTAGTTCACCTCTTGGAGCCAGACATCCTATACTTAGTCACTAGGGATGGTGGAGGAGGGAGAAGACAGGGGAAGGGAAGGGCCCTTTGCTAGTATCTTCGGATCTAGAAGATGGTTTTAGATGATAACCACAGGTCTGTATGAGTGTTTGTAGTGAAGTGCCTGGGTTTATTGTGGACAAAGTTCATTATTTTGCAACGTCTAAGCTTTATGAATGTCTGGGGTGACAACATAGAGCTAGTGAATTAGCCAATTTGTAAATACCTTTGTTGTAATTGACAGAAAAGATGCATCTTGGACATGGAATTGTAAACCACCTCTGAACAATGTGTGTCAGGACTTGTTCATTAGTTGGCAGCAGAGGGGCAGAAGGAACTATAAAGGGAGAGATGTATGCAGATGTGTCCATATTTACGTTTTGATGATAGCCATTAATGTATACATCTGGCTGTACTATAGGAATATATTAAATAATTCAGTGGAAATATACCTTGCTAATATTTTAATGGTATAGATCTGCTAATGAGCTCTCTTAGAAGCATTGTACTTAGTGTAATCTGTTGCTGTGTGCTTCATTTTAAATTGAGCATTAAGGGAATGTAGTATTTAAATCAGAACTCTGCCAATGCTTGTATCTACAGGCGTGTTGCCATTTTGGTCTTCTATGAAATTTTTGTTCCAAGAAAGACAGGATACATTTTTTTTAAACAGACTGAGTTGGTGTATTGTATTCTTGGTTATCAAAATGCTCAGATTGCTTTGGGATTTTGAATTGGTAAATATTCATGGTGTATGAAAAATCATGATACATACTATACAGTCTCAGTTCCATAAAATTGGATGTTGTGCCTATGGGACACAAAGGACCTAGAAGAATGTATCAAACTATAAATGGCTTGTGATTGTGACTTTGTTCTTTGCTTCTTGTGTTTTTCAGTTTCCTCTAATGTACCTAACTTCTTAAAAGTAAAGGTTATTTTAAAAACATGTATTGCTGGGTGTGGTGGCACGTGCCTGCAGTCCCAGCTACTCGGGAGGCCGAGGTGGGAGGATCACTTGAGCCCAGGAGTTCTGGGCTGTAGTGCGCTATGCTGATAGGGTGTCTGCACTAAGTTCGGCATCAATATGGTGACCTCCCGGGAGCGGGGGACCACCAGGTTGCCTAAGGAGGGCTGAACTGGCCCAAGTCGGAAACAGAGCAAGTCAAAACTCCCGTGCTGATCAGTAGTGGGATCTTGCCTGTGAATAGCCACTGCACTCCAGCCTGGGTAACATAGCGAGACCCTGTCTCTAAAAACAAACAAACAAACAAACAAAAAACATGTATTAAGCCCTCGTTGCTTGTAGAATAAAGTTAGTATGCTCCACAGGAGGAAAAAAAAAAAAAAAAAAAAAACCTTCAGGCTGGGCGCTGTGGCTCACACCTGTAATCCTAGCACTTTGGGAGGCCAAGGTGGGTAAATCACCTGAGGTCAGGAGTTCGAGACCAGTCTGGCCAACATGGTAAAACCTCGTCTCTACTAAAAATACAAAAAGTTAGCTGGGTGTGGTGGCAGGGGCCTATAATCCCAGATACTTGGGAGGCTGAGGCAGGAGAATCACTTGAACCTGGGGACAGAAGTTGCAGTGAGCTGGGACCTCGCCACAGCACTCCAGCCTGGGCAACAGAGTGAGACTCCATCTCAAATGAACAAAAAAGAACCTTCCTTACCCATTTTGTTTTCAGCTTGCTGTTTCTATTGGGAGGAGTTCCAAGTGCCGGGAAAAACAGACGGTGTCCAGGTGCATGTGACTCTGGCCAGGGTCCTCATCAGTATGATTCTACCTTATGAAGGTGACAAAGCTGGCAGCATGTGGGCACACAGCAGATACCCAGTTTTCATTGCTTACTCTCCTTCTAAAACCACCTTTTTCCAAACTCCTAATATTCCAAATTGATGGCAAGGGGTGGGGGAAGGGGAGACAGTGCTTTACCCATGAGCTGAGCCCACAAATACCTGTTTTTAATTTTGTATGTATTTTTAATTTTTTAAATAGAGATGAGGGCCGGGTGCCATGGCTCATGCCTGTAATCCCAGCACTTGGGGAGGCTGAGGCAGGCGGATCACACGAGGTCAGAAGTTAGAGAACAGCCTGACCAACATGGTGAAACCCCATCTCTACTAAAAATACAAAAAGCCACCTTGGCATGGTGGTGTGCGCCTGTAATCCCAACTACTCAGGAGGCTGAGGCAGGAGAATCGCTTGAACCCGGGAGGCAGAGGTTGCATGAGCCGAATTAGAGCCACTACACTCTAGCCTGGGCGACAGAGTGAGGCTCCCAGACTCTGTCTGAAAAAAAAATAGAGATGGGAGCTGGTACAGAGGCTCATGCCTGTAATCCCAGCACTTTGGGAGGCTAAGGCAGGGGTATCACTTGAGGTCAAGAGTTTGAGGCCAGCCTGGCCAACGTGGAGAAACTCCGTCTCTACTAAAAATACAAAAATTAGTTTGGCGTGGTGGTGCGTGCTTGTAGTCCCAGCTACTTGGGAGGCTGAAGCAGGAGAATCACTTGAACCCGGGAAGCAGAAGTTGCAGTGAGCCGAGATCGCGCCACTGCACTCCAGCCTGGGTGACAGAGCGAGACTCCGTCTCAAAAATTAAAATAAAATAAGAGATGGAGTGCTCACGATATTGCCCAGATTGGTCTCAAACTTCCGGGCTCAAGCACTCCTGCTGTTTTGGGCCTCACAAAGTGCTAGGATTACAGGCATGAGACACCACACTCGATCACAGATACCTAATTGATTCACATTTTAAAATGCACTTCATACAGTTTCACTTGGACCACAAAACCCTGGTATTAAGCCAATTTTAGAGAAATTGTGACTTGCTAAAGGTTGCCAAGTAGGTGAGTCGGAGAGCCTAGATTAGCCCTGCATGTTGTGCGTGCTAGCATTTCCTTATGATACTGACCATCATTTATGTCACTTTTGGGAAAGTTTTTTTTTTTTTTTTTTGAGATGGAGTCTTGCTCTGTGACCAGGCTGGAGTGCAGTGATGCAATCTCGGCTCACTGCAACCTCCGCCTCCCAGGTTCAAGTGATTCTTCCGCCTCAGCCTCCCAAAGTGCTTAGATTACAGGCGTGAGCCACTGCACTGCCTAATTTGCCATTAATAGACCTATTTTCTCCCTCACATTTCTAAGCTACACATTTGATTCTTGCTGGTTTATAAGGTATCTTCAGGTGATTGGTTCCAAGGCTCCTGTGGATAACAGAATCCATGATGCTCACATCCCTTATATAAATGGCACAGTATTTGCATATAACCTATGAATATCTGCAGTATACTTTAAATCATCTCTAGATTACTTAAAATACCTAGTATAGTGTAAACAGGATGTAAATACACTGTATTGTTTAGGGAATGGCAAGGAAAATAGTCTGTTTCCTATAGAAGTGACCATGAATTTTTTCAGAAAAAAATTTTTTTGAAACAGGATCTTACTCTGGGCTGGAGTTAAGTGGTACTATCTTAGCTCACTGCAACCTTGAACTCCTGGCCTTCCGCAATCCCACCACCTCAGCCTCCCTAGCAGCTGGGACTACAGGCACATGCTACTGCACCTGGGTGATTTATCTTTTGTAGGTATCTCTGTTGAGAAATGCTGAGTGTGTGATGAGATATATTGTTTGCTAGGAAGAAAGATGGCAAGGAAAACTTAGCACCCCCAGTAGAAACTACTTGGAGTTTTCTAAAGTGGCGAGACAACATATAATTATCACACACCAGTTAAAACAATTATTTAGGGGTGGGATGTGTGACCCTGCCCCCTTGACTCCCTTGTGAATACTTTTAAGTTTGTCTGTGATCAGCGGTAAGCGGACACCAGCTGCCTACTTGGTCTATTTTTGTGTTGAGAAAATATACCCAACATGTTTGTTAATAGTCACCTGTTCAGAGAATAAATACGTGGGTCAGAATCTGCTCGAGGCCCTCAGCCTGGAATGCTGTCACCCCCCAGGCTCTCAGCTCGTAAGGCCGTTGGCGCCCTTGATGGTCCCAATTTGCCGTTCTATCTGGGTATCTCCTTCTCAATTCCTTCAGCGCCACCTGGGTGGGGATCTCTACGGCTGAGCTGGTCTCATAGATCTCACTTTGTTGCATAGGCTCCAAATACTCTCAGTCCTCAATTGGCTGAATTAATGGATGTGGAACTCGGGGATGTGAAGGGCAGACTGCACAATGAATGATTGCATCACAAAGTCCTTTCTAACCTTAGGGCAATAGGCCAGTGCACCTAGAGTATTATTACACATCCTTCTTGTAGCAGTGACTCCTACCAGGGAGAGGCCAGGCCAGTCACGCTTGCATTTTGTCAGTCAGTTGTTCAGAAGGCAATATGCTGGTGAACTGGCCAGGAGTGAATTGTGCTCAGAGGCTGTCAGAGCCTGTTTCAGAAACTGAAAGTTTAGGCATTCCAAGAGCACAGCTGATAGGAGGCAAGGCAGCAATTGGCTAAGACCCTTAATCACCAGCACCTCACTCACCTGACAGTGATGTAGCGCTCTGAAACTCAGAAAAAAGAACCTGTAGAAGCCGAGCATGGTGGCACACACCTGTACTCCCAGCACCTTGGGAGGCTGACGTGGGCAGATCACCTGAGGTCAGGAATTCGACACCAGCCTGGCCAACATGGTGAAACCCTGTCTCTACTAAAAATACAAAATTAGCTCTGCATGGTGGTGGTGGTGCATGCCTGTAATCCCAGCTTCTGGGGGTGCGAGGGGGGGGCGCGCTGAGGCAGGGGAATCGCTTGAACCTGGGAAGTAGAGGTTGCAGTGAGCCTAGATCACACCACTGCACTCCAGCGTGGGTGACAGAGAAAGATGCCATCTCAAAAAAACAACAAAAAAAATTGCAGAGCAAAATGTAGGCTGAAGATCAACTAGAAGATAATGAAATTTTGAGCTTTCCATGAAGGATGGAACTTGGCTCACTTAAAAGACCTGCTGATCCTTTTGTAGTTAAGTGCGATGATTGGGTTTTCAAACTCATAGGTGAGGTGTACCTCCCTCAAACCTGGTTACATTGACATATTACCCCTCTGACATGAAAAATGTGGCCACTCCAAATTGTATCCCATCCCTTTAAAGTTCTTCCCCAGCACGGAGTGGGTGATTGCAGCTAACCTGAGCGTTTTAGGAAGAGGAGGCTACAACACTTTAAGCAGAAGAAAAGCAACTTCAGGGGAACTGCGTATATTGATTGGTATTTACTGTCAATCAGGAGTGCCCAAGGGAGAGAATATGGTCATGGGTTTAGTTTCAGTTTATGGTTAGGCCAGTAAAGCCCCTTCCTCATCCCTCTTTTCCATTTGTTACTAGAGGCAGAAACTAAAAACCGCAGCTTCAGGCTGCTAAAAGCCTAAAACAAAACAGAACAAATAAGGTGGGTGGCACAAGCTTGCTTGGACACAGTAGGGGAATAGGGAACCCACCCCAAACAGGCTTATTCCTGTTCCTTTATCTTTCACTTGATTCAAACAATGTATTTTTGAGACAGTCTTACTCTGTCACCCAGGCAGGAGTGCAGTGGCATGAACTCAACTTACTGCAACCTCTGCCTTCCAGGTTCAAGCAATTCTCTTGCCTCAGCCTCCCAAGTAGCTGGGACTACAGGCAGGCACCATCACACCTGGCTTAAAAATAGTATTTTAAGCAGTTTCCTGCTACTGATCAGCTTCCTTAACTCCAGGCCCACAGGACCAGGACCCTTGAATCGAGCAGCATGTTTATGAGTGAGCCACTCCTTACATAATCCCTCAGGGGAGCTCTCAGATCTGGGTGGATGCTAATTTCATAACCAGAGGATACAGACTAGATGAATCACATCTTGGAAGAAAATCACTTTATTCTAATTAACTCACGAAGAATAAAATCATAACAGCTAGTTTAAGGAGGCCACACAAACATCTGACCAGCTCCAAATTCTACAGAGTAGGAATACCCCCTTCCATTTCAATTCTGAAGCAAGGAAGCTAGAATGACAGGAGAGGTTTAACTGATGGCTACACTTTATACCTTCACTATTAATGAAATTTTTATATTAAGTTAACTTGGTTATGAGAGCTGGTTTTCCATTTCTCCAGTTTGAACTTCTTGATTAGGCCAATCCTGCAAAGAGAAAAAATAAGTTAGAAGAGTGCTGGCTTCATACACTCAACAAAACAGAAGCCTTCCAAATCATGAAAGCAGAGACAAGAAGCCAAGGTTATAGGTTTTTTTTTTTTTTTTTTTTTTAAATAAAAAATAGAGATGGGGTCTTGCTATATTGCCCAGGCTGGTATCAAACTCCGGGGCTCAAGCAATCCTCCCACCTTGGCCTCCCAGAGCGCTAAGTGATTGAAGGCATCCTGCAACTAACAAGACACCCTAAATCTCAAGAGTTCCCCTGAGGAACTTAATAAACTCCTTTCACTCAATGACGTACAGAATACAGATAATGTATCAGTCTTTTTGTCTATTACTGGATTTTGGTAAAAACGGAATCTAATTTTATATTCATGGCCTTAAGGCGAGGAGGTCACTCTCATCCAGTAACCACAGTAAGACCTGGCATACTGATTTACACCTTCTCCTTCTTCATTTTTTTTTTTCAAATTTGGGACGGAGCCTCGCTCTGTCACCCAGGCTGGAGTGCAGTGGTGGGATCCTGGCTCACTGCAGCTTCTGCCTGCCAGGTTAAAGGGATTCTCCTGCCTCAGCCTTCCAAGTAGCTGAGATTACAGGCGCCCACGAACACACCCAGCTAATTTTTTGTATTTTTAGTAGAGCTGGGTTTTGCCGTGTTGGCCAGGCTGGTTTCAGACTCCCAACCTCAGGTGATCCACCCGCCTTGGCCTTCCAAAGTGCTGGGATTATAAACATGAGCCATTACGCCTGGCCTATACCTTCTGACGGAAGAAGAAAATTCAGAAAATGACTCACAAAATCGACTAGGAAACTCTGGCCCAGTTGTTAGGAGTTAATTCTAGAGAAATATCAACAAAGTCTTCTCCAAACTTATCAATTTAATTTATTAAACACAGATTCCCGTAAGTTCTACAGGATCCAGGAATACCACTGTGAATTAAGCAGATGCAAATTGGACAAATCACCTACCATTTGCAAGTCGGCACTGTTTCAGCACCTCACTGAAACCCTCACAGAGCTTGATGTCACCCTGATTCTGGGCACACTCCAAGAACTGTTTGATCTCATAGAAGCAAGGCTGCTGCTGCTGTGCTAGCTGGGTTCCCTGAGGCTCCTGTGAAGGCAAAACATTCATTATTGCTAAGAAAGCAAATCATATTTACGCCTAGACGATGAAGAGTATATCCTCTTTGAGGTTAAAGGGAAATGGAACTAGCACCAGATGCAAATTAAAGCTTCCATCTATCTATTAACATGGAAAGTGAAAACATTTAAATCTTTAAAAAATATTTTAGGCCGAGTGTGGTCGCTCACATCTGTAATCTCAGCACTTTGGGAGGCTGAGGCGGGTAAACCACTTGAGGTCAGGAGTTTGAGACCAGCCTGGTTAACGTGGTGAAACCCTCTCTGTCCTAAAAATACAAAAATTAGCTGGGCATGGCACTGCATGTCTGTAATCCCAACTACTCAGGAGGCTGAGGCAGAATTGCGTGAACTTGGGAGGTGAAGCTGCAGTGAGCTGAGATCATGCCACTGCACTCCTTTGTCGCCCACTCCAGCCTGGGCGACAAAGCAAGACTCCATCTCAAAAAAAAAGAAAAATTTAAATAAATATTTTTAGTTTCAAGCACACCAGAAATACCAGAGTATACACACCTATGCTCATTACACGAGAAAACCCATACATATCAGAAAGAGAGGCAATGGCAAATATCAGGTAAAAGAGCACACAACTATTTGAGATTTTTGACTCCTTAACTAAGATCAAGACAGGATTGTAGGAAGTAACACTGAGATAAAATATTCAAAGGGATAGCGGTTATTTTACAGGGAGTCAGGCTGGATTGTTACATCTACTCCTTGGGAAGAAATACAGTTTTGTACAGTACTTGGTGGTGGCCTAAGGCAGTAACTCAATAGCCAAGATGTAGCTTTTGATAACCTATTGTCAACAGTGGGTTCTAAAACCCAAGACAATTCCTACACACAAGGAACTTAGAAATGTCTGGTCTTTCTCATAAAATCCACCCATGGAAGGGAAATGCTGCTTAAATTCTCACCTGGTAAGTGATGTCAGGCCTCGCAGGCTCAGGATCACTTCCTCCACTGAAGCCCCCAGTAATGGCGTGGCCCAGTGTGTGCCCCACAGCAGAGCCCACAGCCACGCCAGCTGCAGTGGTTGCCATCTGGGACAGCAGACCTGGCTGCCGGGGCGCAGCAGCAGGAGAGCCAACTGCAGAGTGGGGTGCCGCTGCTGGTGGCTGAGCGGCTGGTGCTGACCTGGGCGCAGCTCTCATCTGAGGGGCCCGGCTGTGAAAGAAAAGAACAAAGTGTAAAAGTTCCCATTTCCAACCAGTTTTGGAAATTGTCAACTTAATAATAACTTATATATTAAAATAGACCTCAAGGTTTTCATTTCAAATTATTTACATCACTTTACCTCTTTAATTTTTTTTTTTTGGACAGGGCCTCACTCTGATGCCCAGGCTGGAGAGCAGTGTCATGATCCCATCTCACTGCAACCTCTGCCCCCTCGGGTTCAAGCGTTTCTCCTGTGTCAGCATCCCCAGTAGCTGGGATTACCGGCATCCACCACCACACCCAGCTAAGTTTGTATTTTTAGTAGAGACAGAGTTTCACCTTGTTGGCCAAGTTGGTCTTGAACTCCTGACCTCATGTGATCCACCCGCGTCCCAAAGCGTTGGGATTATGTGTGAGCCACAGCGCCCACCCACTTTTAACTTTTCTTATAATAGTAATTGCCAAGGGCAAACTATTTTTCCTGCTTCTTTGCAACCATTTCCATGTATTCACATAGCCCACAGTATCTTTAAAGACATATCCAATACGTATGTCATAAGAAATATAGACTATTAAAAAGAAAGATTCTTACAGAATTCATTCATTCAGATATTAGGTAACTACAAGGCGCTAGTAATATAACTAAGAGACAAAAATCTCTGCATTCATGGAGTTTACATTTTTTTTGAGGGATCAAATAATTAAAATAGGCTGCAGAGCTGTGGCTCTTGCCTGTAATCCCAGTGATTTGGAAAGTGGAGACAAGAGGATCATTTGAGGCCAGGACTTTGAGATCAGCCAGGGCCACATAGTGAGACCCTGTCTCCACAAAAATACAAAACAGAATAAAGTTGCCGGGCGTGACACACGCCATTAGTCCCAGCTACCCTGGAGGCTGAGGCGACAGAATAGCTTGAGGCCAGGTCGTCATGGCTGCAGACAGCCATGATTACGTCATTGCACTGAAGTCTGAGTTACAGAGTGAGACTCTGACTCAAAATATAAATAAAAATGTCATATTTTAAGTGTTATGGAAGAAATATCAGAAGAGTATGTTGTGAGATATCTCTATTTTAGGGTAATCAAGGAAGGTCTGGCTGAACCAGTAACATTCTAATTAAGACCTAAAGATGGTCAACTGGGGAAAGAATCTAGTCCAATTCCTTCATTTTACACGCTATAAAATAAGACTGGTGAGTGACTCGCCTGAACTATCACACCAAAGCAAGTTCAACTATTCCTCATCTGTACAACGTCCAGACGGTTTCAGCAATTTCACTAGGCCGGGATTACTCCTGTAATCCCAGCACTTTGGGAGGCCGCGGCAGGAGGATCTCTAGAGACTAGGAGTTCGCGGTCAGCCTGGGCAACACAGGGAGGTCCCGTGTCTACAAAAATTAGCGGGGCGTGGTGGCGCGTGCCTGCAGTCCCAGCTACTCATGACGCTGAGGTCCAGGCTGCAGTGAGCCGTGACCACGCCGTTGCCCTACAGCCTGGGCGACAGGGGAAGAGCCCTTCTCAAATCACGAAAGACACAATTTCACTAATGTCCTGCACTTATTTAAAAATCTTCACACGTATCACGCTCCCTCTAGCCATTTCCGGATCATTTCATCAGGCCAGGTCAAAAGGTTAACGCCTCCTATCACGTGGCACCTGGCCATAACGTCACGCCTTTGCCGTCGCTTGTGTGGGAAGCTTTTTCCTTAAGTGAATTCCCTCTCCACACTCCCCCAACACACGCTTTGCGCTCGGTCCACCTTCCCCGGCCGAGGGGGGCCCCGTTGCAATAGGCCTGCTTCGCCCCCGACCGCGCGCGGCCTCCCTCTGCGTCATGGCGCCAGTGGGGTCCGCACGCTCGCGCTCCGGCCTCAAACCCTGCGATGGGCTCACCTAGCCGGAGGGGCCATGCGGGAGGTACGGCTCCGGCTTCCACGCGGCATCCTAGCGACGGGGCTACTCGGCCTTTAGACGTGCAGTGACCAGGGAAGAGCTCAGCAGCTTCTGAGAAAACCGGAAGGCGGGAGGCGGCGCTGGCTTCAGCGCGCAACCAATCAGCGCACAGGCAGACGACTTCCGTTCTCCAATGTCTCCGGGGCCCTGAAGGTCACTGAAGGAGCAGGACGTCACGAGGACGCCCAGTCCTCCCCCAGCCCCCGCCTCGAGTTCCCATTGGCTCCGCGTGAGGGGGGCTCTGACGTCACAGGAACGCTCCCTCGGCGACGTCACAGGGGCGGACCTTCGGTGGTCGGCGTCGCAGGACGGTCTAGCGCCTGCAGTGTGGCTGTTTTTTCGTCACAGTGGAGCCTAGCAGCCGCGTCTTCGCCGGTCCTGGGTGTTGCTGGCTGAAGAACGGCAGTTGACAAACTCCGACCCGGCACAGCGTTTGTGTCGGTAGAAAACTGTGTCCGGCCGCGGTGGCTCCCGCTTGTAGTCCCAGGGCTTTGGAAGGCCTAGGCGGAAGGATCCCTGCAGGCCGGGAGTTCAAGAGCAGCGGGGCAACATGGTGCGACCCCGTCTCTGTATTCCCACCTGAGCCTCCCAGCTACTTGAACCCCAGGGTTCAAGGCTGCAATGAGGTGTGGTCCCACCACAGCACTCCAGCCTGCGAGACTAAGGTAAACCCTGTCTAAAAAAATAAAAAAACTATCCAAGTGTGCAACAAGGGGGACTGCTTAAAGAAAACATGAGGCCGAGGCCGGGCGCGGCGGCTCATGCCTGTAATTCCAGCACTTTGGGAGGCCGAGCGGACGTAACACCTGAGCTCAGAGTTCGAGACCAGCCTGACCAACATGGCGAAACCATCTCTACTAAAATACAAACATTAGCTGGGCGACATGGAGCACCCCTGTAGTCCCAGCTACTCCGGAAGCTGAGGGAGGAGAATCTCTTGAACCCAGGAGGTTGCAGTGAGCTGAGCTCTAACCACTGCACCCCACTCTGGGCGACAGAGTGAGGCTCCAGAGTTGAGACTAGCCTGGACAATGTAGTGAAACCCTGTCTCTACAGAACAAACAAGCAGGATTCTCCTGCTTCAAGCGATTCAAACAAAAAAGCAGTATTCTCCTGACTCAGCCTTCTGAGTAACTGTGTTCACCTGTGGCCCCAGCTACTTAGGAAGCGGAGGCAGGAGGATCAGTTGAGGCCAGGAGCTCAAGGCTGCAGTGGGCTATGAGCATCCCACTGCTCTCCATCCTGAGCAATAGAATGAGACCTTGTTTCTAGATAGCTAACTGGCTAGATAATTGATTCGTAGTTTCCTATCAGAAATTTTTTCCCCTAGATTTGAATACGTTTTCCTTTTTTTTTTTTTTTTTTTTTTTCCTGAAACGGAGTCTTGCTCTGTCTTCCAGGCTGGAGTGCAGTGACGCAGCCTCCGCCTCTCAGGTTCAAGCGATTCTCCTGCCTCAGCCTCCTGAGTAGCTGGGATTACAGGGGGCGCTACCACCCTTGGCTAGTTTTTGTATTTTTAGTAGAGATGGGTGTAGGGAGAGCCCTCACACACCACCTGTGGGTACTCGGAGTTCGGTGGCAGTAAAGGAACTGAGAAAAAGGTTAAGAATGAAAGTGGAACCATGGGGCCATCACTTGTACTGGAGGCAGTGAAGGCCCTGAGCTCCGGTTTCCACAATATTGAACACAGTCACTTTTTTTTTTTAACTGTACTTTGGGCTTTGGGGTACATGTGCACAGGATTGTTGCATAGGTACATACATGCCATGGTGGTTTGCTGTCTCCATCTCCCCCCTCTCCTGTCGCCTGCATCAGGCATTAAACATAATCACCTTATCTATAGTGCTGGTGGTAGGGTGAATCGGTGAAGGAGAGGCTGTGCATCAAACCTAGAATGGATGGCAGTGGTGGTTTATGTGACTTTCTCAAGAGCTAAAAGCATATGCTTATCAATAGACAGTGCAGCTGGTGGGAGCGCGCTTATCAAGGAGCCTACATGTCTGTTTACATTCCAGTGCTTCAAGGGAGTGTTATGTCCTTGGGCAGAGTATGTTTAGAATATCAGAGTTTAGGTCTCTTTGTTCCTGGGAACATGGTAGCAATAGAGAGGCCTTCCACAGTTTATTGTTCCTGATTTCTTTTATACGTATATGTTACTTATACCAGTTTATGTAGGCACACTGTAAACCCTTCCTCTATAGCTGCTCCCCCCAACAGATAGGGTTTCACCGTGTTAGTCAGGCTGGTCAGGAACTCCTGACCTTGTGATCCACCTCCCTCGGCCTCCCAGAGTGCTGGGATTAAAGGTGTGAGCCACTTCGCCTGGCCTTGAACATGTTTTTCTAAAGTAGCATTCAACACATCAGCATTTTATAGTGTTACTAGTGGTTAATATGATTGTTTTTCTGAAATGCAGTATCCTTTACAAAAGCAGTTTTTTCTTTCAAAGCACATAGATAGGTTCATAAGTGAATTTGTGTGATGTTGTCGACCTTGGTACCATTTTCTCCAGTTGATTGGAACAATCAATAATTTCAGGTCACTGTTGGCCTTCGAGGAAGAGCCCAAAGGCAACAAGCAAGGGTGCTGGTGTCCAGTCGCCTTCTAGAAGCATTTTCACCTTCTCTTAAGGTTTCCCTTCATGAACATAGAAGTACTGTGTGTAGAATTGACCTAGTGCTGCCCCGGCAGCTTTGTATATTAGGCTAAATTTACAATTCTTACCTTTATGAGAGGTGCCCTGGTAGGCTAGTGGAGTTACACAGGAAGTCTGATCTCAGCTGCACTATCCAGAGATGCAATATGGGTTCAATCAAATAACATTCTCTGAGCCTGTTTCTTTAGCTGTAAAGTAAGAATAACAGTTACACACATCTAAATAGACAACTGTATTTGAGTGGTCTTTTTTTTTTTCTTTCTATGAAACTGTCTTTGCCAGGTGAGGTGGCTCACACCTGTAATCCCAGCACTTTGGGAGGCTAAGGTGGGTGGACCATGAGGTCAGGAGATCGAGACCACCCTGGCCAACATGGTAAAACTGTGTTTCTACTAAAATACAAAAAACTAGCTGGATGTGGTGGCACAAGCCTGTAGTCCCAGCTACTTGGGAGGCTGAGGCAGGGGAATCACTTGAACCCGTGAGGCGGAGGTTGCAGTGAGCCAAGATCACGCCACTGCACTCCAACCTGGTGACAAAACGAGACTCCGTCTCAAAAAAAAAACAACGAAACTGTCTTTAACACAGTACTTATTTTCTTTGCCATACCACATTCATTTTTTTTTTTGAGATGAGTCTGTTTTTATTTGTTTGTTTTTTGGGATGGAGTCTTGCTCTGTTGCCCAGGTTGGACTGCAGTGGTGCAATCTCAGCTCACTGCAACTTCCCCCTCCCGGGTTCAAGTGATTCTCTTGTCTCAAACTCCCAAGTAGCTGGGACTACAGGTGTGGGCTACCAAGCCTGGCTAATTTTTGTATTTTTTGTAGAGGTGGGGTTTCACCATATTGGTCAGGCTGTCTTGAACTCCTGACCTCATGATCTGCCTCCCTCAACCTCCCAAAGTCTTAGGATTACAGGTGTGAGCCTTGGTTTTTTTTTTTTTTTTTTGGAGATGGAGTCTTGTGATTGTCGCCCAGGCTGGAGTGAAGTGGCATGATCTCAGCTCATTGCAACCTCTGCCTCCCAGGTTCAAGTGATTCTCCTGTCTTAGCCTCCTGAGAAGCTGGGATTACAGGTGCCTACCGCCACACCCGCCTAATTTTTTTTTTTTTATTTTTTATTTTTTATTTTTTTAGTAGAGATGGGGTTTCATCATGGCTGGCCTCGAACTGCTGATCTCAAGTGATCCATCTGTCTTGGCTTCCCAAAGTGCTGGGATTATAGGCATCAGTCACTGTGCCCAGCCTGTTTTTAAGTAGAAAGTTCTTAAAATGGTATTTTTAGTATTTCACAGATGTTGTGTGAACAGCAGTCTTTTTTTTGAGATGAAGTCTCTGTTGCCAGGCTAGAGTGCAAGATCTCGGCTAACTGACCTCTGCCTCCTGGGTTAAAGCAATTCTTCTGCCTCAGTCTCCCCAATAGCTGGGACTACAGGCATGCACCACCACTCCTGGCTAAGTTTGGTAATTTTTAAATAGAGATGGGGTTTCACCATGTTGGCCAGGATGGTCTCCATTTCCAGACCTCATGATCCACCTGCCTTGACCTCCCAAAGTGCTGGGATTATAGGCATGAGCCACTGTGCCCGGCCAGTGAGCAACAATTTTAATAGTATGTTACCCGACACTTTGGGGGCTAGAAGATAACATTGGGAGCTGATTTGATCCAGATGTCTCTAATTCTAATCTGAGGTGTCTTGGAGGATCATAGCTGAGTGAGCTGCTGGTGGGTCCACAAGGAAACGAGCAAGGAACTGTCACGACAGATGTCCTGAGTAGTGTGTGTGTTGTGCTTAAATATCTCACTGCATTTATGCACAGGCTTTCTGGAGACTGAGTCACCAAAAGTATCTGTTTCATAAATAATGTTGCCCTATTTTCTTTTTTTTTTGACAAGGTCTTGCTTTATTACCCAGGCTGGAGTGCAGTGGTGCTATCTTGGCTCACTGCAACCTCTGCCTTGTGGGTTCAAGTCATTCTCCTGCTTCAGCCTTCTCAGTAGCTGGGACTACAGGCCCACGCCACCACACGCAGCTAATTTTTTTTGTTTTTAGTAGAGACAAGGGTTCACCATGTTGGTGAGGATGGTCTTCATTTCTTGACCTTGTGATCTGCCCGCCTCTGCCTCCCCAAGTGCCAGGTGTAAACCACTGCGCCTGGTTGTGGTGTCTCTTAAGGTCTGGAGTCCGTCTTAACCTTATTTTTTTATTTTTATTTTTATTTTTGAGATGGATTCTTGATCTATTGCCCAGGCTGCCAGTGGCATGGTCTGGGCTCATTGCAACATCCGCCTCCTGGGTTCAAGTGATTCTCTGGCCTCAGCCTCCTGCGTAGCTGAGACTACAGGTGACTGCCACCACACCTGGCTAAGTTTTATATTTTTGGTAGAGATGTGGGGCCGGGGGCAGGGAGGGAGGTTTCTTGTTATGTTGCCCTCAGCTCCGAGTGATCCGCCTGCCTCTCCTCTCAGGTGCTAGGATTACAGGCCAGCACTGTGGCACCTGGTTGCTGTAAAGTCTTATTCCACACAGCTGAAACATGTTTTAGGAAGTCTGCTGAAAGGCCCCTGGAGCCCTCCTCATTGTGGCCTCCCTGTTGTCATGTTTAGTTTGATTGATCTTTTCTGCCCTCCTACTTTTCAGAAATTAAAGGACTAGAAAGAGGTACTAAACTTTAAAAATTCTCTTATAGTCTCCCATTAAACTAATTCTAAGAACCACTAAAAACGAAAGCAGCAACTGATACGAACTGTTAGGATGTAAAATGTAGGAAATAAGTCATTATATGTTAGTGTTGCTCTGACATAGAAATGTATATATTGAGAATCAATTTTTGCTCAATTTTCAGAGAAATGGAATAATCGTACTGCTGATCTATGTAAACAAGTGGAAGAATTGTCTGAAAGAAAATATGGTATGTGTATGCTGGAAAAGTCCCATAATACTTTGTTCATGAGTATTTACACAGTGGAGTTACTGTTCACCATGGGGGAACTGTGGACAAGCCCAGGGCTGCTGGTGAATCCTGCCATCCTTACATGTGTCTCCCTGTAAGGCGCTTTGTAGTGTCTGTCTAAATATTAGAAACATTCTTTATTTCTAGATTACTGCAAAGCTAAGGAAAAGTTGTATTTCTTTAATTATCTGTTAGCATTTCTTTTAAAATTTCAGCTTGGATATTGGGGATTTATTTACATATTTATTGCAAAGCCCTGGATCTTAGGGATTTAATTGACTATATATTTTTTAAACTAATTGTTTGTCTTAATCTGCTTTGTTAAATTCAGTATTCACCAGGATTCTCCTATTTGTTAAATTCAGCATTCACCAAGATTCTCCTATTCTACTTTTATCTTGACGCATCACTGAGTTGACGTTAGATTTCAAATTCTTCTTTGCCTTTATACTATTCTGTCCTGAAGCCACCTTTATATAATGATGAAAGAAATTAACAATTTGTTATTATTATCTCTGTTGGTATATATCAAATGCTCACCTAAAAATACCAATGACCAGTGAAACACATGTGTTTTGCCTGTTTTTATTTGGATGACTATTTACCTTGTCATCTACTAGCAAGCTATAAAATGGTATGATATGCAGAATTTAAACGAGTTGCTTTAAGTGAACATTTAAACATGGTAAATCATATCGATAATGTTTATGTTAATATGCTTGAAATGAACATTTTTTCTTCATCATGAATAATATAATCTATCCCTCAATGAAAGTATAGAATTAGAGTAAATTTGCTAATGAATTCAATAACTTTTCCATAGTATCTTTAGTGGTGTGCTTAAGGTTCTCTTAGTGTTTCTTCTACCATTTAATAGCTTACAGCTTTTTTGGCTTTGTTTCTTACTGGCTCACTTTAAAGCAAAAACCTCATAACATGTGCTGGGGAAGCACTGTAACCTAGTGGTAAGATTATAGGCTCTGGGGACACAGCCTGGCCACGTCTCTTATCCTGTCTGAGCCTTAGTATCCTCTCTTGTGGTCATGAGAACTGGATCTATCCCGCAGATTTAATAAGATAGTCAAGTGCTTCATATAATACCTGGCATATAAATACATAATAAATACTTCCACCTTTCTTATTTATTTTTGATTAATTAATTTTTTTTTTTTTTTGAGACAGAGTCTCGCTCTGTTGCCCAGGCTAGAGTGTAGTGGCGTGATCTCAGCTCACTGCAACCTCTGCCTTCTGGATTCAAGCAATTCTTCTGCCTCAGGCTCCTAAGTAGCTGGGATTACAGGTGCATGCCACCATCATGGAGTTAACTGTGGACAAGCCCAGGGCTGCCAGTGAATCCTGCCATCCTTACACATCTCTCCTTATAAGGTGCTTTGTAGTGTCTAAATATTAGAAACATTCTTTGTTTCTAGAGATGGGGTTTCAGTATGCTGGCCAGGCTGGTCTCAAACTTCTGATCCGCCTGCCTTAGCCTCCCAAAGTGCTGGGATTATAGGTGTGAGCCACCGCGCCCAGCCCTATTTATTTATTTTTTGAGACAGAATCTTGCTCTGTCTCCCAGACTGGAGTGCAGTGGCATTACCTTGGCTCACTGCAACCTCTGTCTCCTGGGTTCAAGCAGCTCTGCTGTGTCAGCCTCCTAAGTAGCTGAGAGTACAGGTGTGTGCCACCACGCCCAGCTGATTTTTGTATTTTTAGTAGAGGCAGGGTTTTACCATGTTGACCAGGCTGGTCTTGAACTCCTGACCTCAAGTGATCCACCCACCTTGGCCTCCCAAAGTGCTGGGATTACAGGTGTGAGCCACCACACCTGGCCTATGTTTTTATTATATTGTTAATTTAGTACTATTCTGAGTAAAAATAATTTGCTATTAGTTTTATGAATTGACTGTGACAATTTTATAAATGTCAGTGCTTTTTATAAGGTGAAACAGATTATGTTGTGGGGCTTTTGTTGTGATATAACTCCAAAATGCTGGGTTACAGGTATGAGCCACCATGCCTGGCCAGCTCTTAACTTTTTGTAGCTGTTATTTTAATCTTGAGTAAATAAATGCTAGCTGAAATGTTGCATGTTGGAAATAGATGCTTGGTGCTGCAAAGAAAAACTGGCACTGAGACAAAGGGTTTTTTTTTAGCAATGCAAGTTTTCCTTCCTGGACTGCAGGAAGGGTACCCTCACTAGCCATCCTGCCACAAGAGTACAATGAACAAAGGAAAGCAGACACTTTTTTTTTTTTTTTTTAAGACGGGGTTTCACCATGTCGGTTAGGCTGGTCTTGAACTCCCGACCTCAGGTGATCCGCCTGCCTTGGCCTCCAAAGTGCTTGGATTACAGGCGTGAGCCACCACGCCCGGCTGGAAAGCAGACACTTGTATCCCTTACACATTTGGGGTTGTCCTTATTACTGTGTCTGATCTCCATTGGCTGGAAGCCAGACCTCACAATTTAAAACCCAATTGGCTATAAACTTTTCTAAACAGGTAAAAGCATTGGAGAGTTGGGACATGCCTGTGAGCACGTCCAATACAGATATTTTGATTAAAGTACAAGGACATAGAATATACTATGGGCCTGTAAGCATGGCATATCTAATAGTTACATAGGATAGGGCTTAACAAAGAGTTATTAGCACACTTATGATTTATTCTTTAACAAGAAATAAAACTTTAAAAAGGAAATTTTCTACTTTACACATGCAGTTCAGGAGAATCTTCTGTTTATGTTATTTGAAAACATTATTTTTGTTGGCTAGGTGCAGTGGCTCATGCCTGTAATCCCAGCACTTTGGGAGGCTGAAGCGGGTGGATCACCAGGTCAGGAGTTCAAGACCTGCTTGACCAACATAGTGAAACCCCATCTCTACTAAAAATAGAAAACTTAGCCTGGCATGGTAGCATGTGCCTGTAATCCCAGCTACTCAGGAGGCTGAGGTAGGAGAATCCCTTGAACTCAGGAGGTGGAAATTGGCAGTAAGCCGAGATTGCGTCATTGCACTCCAGCCTGGGCTGAACAGAGTGAGACTTGGTCACACAAAAATTTTTTTGTAAATCTAACAAGGTTACACTAATGTTCACGTTTTGGAAATATTACCTCTTCTATTTAGTACTATCTGTATTAAATAATATCAACTGGTATGTTTTTCTGGCTTCATAATGTGGTTCAGATTTCTGTAGAAAGTCTGGCTATATCTACATTGCCTTAAAGTAATGGGATATATCTTTTTTTCTTTTGAGCTGGAGTTTTGCTCTCGTTGCCAATGCTGGAGTGCAGTGGTGTGATCTTGTCTCACTGCAACTTCTGCCTCTGGGGTTCAAGTGATTCTCCTGCCTCAGCCTCCCAAGTAGCTGGGATTACAGGCACCTGCCACCACACCTGGCTAATTTGTGTATTTTTAGTAGAGATGGGATTTCAGCATGTTGGCCAGGCTGGTCTCCAACTCTTTGGACCTCAGCTGATATACCCACCTTGGTCTTCCACAGTGCTGGGATTACAGGTGTGAGTCACTGCACCTGGCTGTAATGGGATATTTCACCACAGACTTTGATGAACAGAATATTAGCATGTTTGGGGAAGGGAGGGGAAAAAGAAAATCTTAGCATGTTTGGTATTCTTTTTATTTTACTCATACTATTTTTTCTTTGAACTTAATTACAATAACAAGATCAAATTATAAAATTTAAAGAACAATGCAGATTCCATAATTATTCTTTCCTACAAATTGTATTTAAATTATATCCCTTTTTCTTTTTGTCCTTATAGCTCAAGCTGTAAAAACCAAAGGTCCGGTGATGATCCCATACCCTTTTTTCCAGTCTCATGTTGAACATCTTTATGTAGGAGGCCTTCCCAAAGGAATTTTTTTTTTGAGACAGAGTTTTCCCTTGTTGCCCAGTCTAGAGTGCAGTGGCACCATCTTGGTTCCCTGCAACCTCCATCTCCTGAGTTCAATCAGTTCTGCCTCAGCAGGAGTAGCTGAGTAGCTGGGATTACAGGCACCAACCATTATGCCAGGCTAATTTTTGTATTTTCAGTAGAGATGGGATTTCATCGTGTTGGCTAGGCCGGTCTCGAACTTTTGACCTCAGGTGATCCTCCTGCGTCAGCCTCCCAAAGTGCTGGGATTACAGGTGTGAACCACCACGCCTGGCCAGGAATTTTTTTTTAAGAAGGCTATTTCCTTATGGAATTCCTGGCCTTGAACGGATATTACTTGCAAAGAAAAGGATTCATTTTGTGATAAAAAGTAAGGCTCTTGGATTCTTTGTTGGACTCTTATCTCTGTTCTGAGTAATACATCTTTTGTTGACAAATATTCATTCACCACTAGAGTATATGTAATCAAGTTCAACTTATTTTATGTATTTTTATCTTCTACTTTTTAATTTATCTGGATCTAACACTGAGTCAGTCATTCCAACATTACCTTTTGAAATATGAACGCTGCTTGCACCTGACCGACATGCAACTGACTTTTTCTTTAATAATTTTCTACTACTTTTGCTAAAGAAAATAATATCCGTGTGGCTTGTTTTTAAGCCTGAGATTTTATTTATTTTTTTGAGACAGAGTCTGGCTGTGTTACCCATACTGGAGTGCAGTGGCTTAGCTCACTGCAACCTCCGTCTCCTTGGTTTAAGTGATTCTCCTGCTTCAGCCTCCTGAGTAGCTGGGATTACAGGTGTGCACCACTATGCCCAGCTAATTTGTTTGTATTTTTAGTAGAGATGGGGTTTCAACATGTTGGCCAGGCTGGTCTCAAACATCTGACCTCATGATCTGCCTGCTTAGGCCTCCCAAAGTGCTGGGATTACAGGTGTGAGCCACCGTTCCCAGCCAGGCCTGAGACTTTTGAAGCATATGTGGGAATATATAATGGTTTTTATAGATTGTAGAGGAAGATAATCTTGAATGCAACGTGATATTAAAAGATCCCGTT